AGTGAGAGTGACACTACAGTGACACTACAGTGACAGTGACACTACAGTGACAGTGACACTACAGTGACACTACAGTGAGAGTGACACTACAGTGAGGGTGACACTACAGTGAGAGTGACACTACAGTGACAGTGACACTACAGTGACACTACAGTGACACTACAGTGAGAGTGACACTACAGTGACACTACAGAGAGAGTGACACTACAGTGAGGGTGACACTACAGTGAGAGTGACACTACAGTGACAGTGACACTACAGTGACACTACAGTGACACTACAGTGACAGTGACACTACAGTGACACTACAGGGAGAGTGACACTACAGTGACACTACAGTGAGAGTGACACTACAGTGACACTACAGTGAGAGTAACACTACAGTGACACTACAGTGACACTACAGTGAGAGTGACACTACAGTGACACTACAGTGATAGTGACACTACAGTGACAGTGACACTACAGTGAGGGTGACACTACATTGAGAGTGACACTACAGTGAGAGTGACACTACAGTGACACTACAGTGACACTACAGTGAGAGTGACACTACAGTGAGAGTGACATTACAGTGAGAGTGACACTACAGTGACACTACAGTGAGAGTGACACTACAGTGACACTACAGTAACACTACAGTGAGAGTGACACTACAGTGAGAGTGACATTACAGTGAGAGTGACACTACAGTGACACTACAGTGAGAGTGACACTACAGTGAGAGTGACACTACAGTGACACTACAGTGACAGTGACACTACAGTGAGAGTGACACTACAGTGACACTACAGTGAGAGTGACACTACAGTGAGGGTGACACTACAGTGAGAGTGACACTACAGTGACACTACAGTGACACTACAGTGAGAGTGACACTACAGTGACACTACAGTGAGAGTGACACTACAGTGACAGTGAAACTACAGTGACACTACAGTGACACTACAGTGAGAGTGACACTACAGTGACACTACAGTGAGAGTGACACTACAGTGAGGGTGACACTACAGTGAGAGTGACACTACAGTGACAGTGACACTACAGTGACACTACAGTGACACTACAGTGACAGTGACACTACAGTGACACTACAGGGAGAGTGACACTACAGTGACACTACAGTGAGAGTGACACTACAGTGACACTACAGTGATAGTGACACTACAGTGACAGTGACACTACAGTGAGGGTGACACTACATTGAGAGTGACACTACAGTGAGAGTGACACTACAGTGACACTACAGTGAGAGTGACACTACAGTGAGAGTGACATTACAGTGACACTACAGTGAGAGTGACACTACAGTGAGAGTGACACTACAGTGACACTACAGTGAGAGTGACACTACAGTGACACTACAGTGAGAGTGACACTACAGTGACAGTGACACTACAGTGAGAGTGACACTACAGTGAAAGTGACACTACAGTGAGAGTGACACTACAGTGAGAGTGACACTACAGTGACACTACAGTGATACTACAGTGAGAGTGACACTACAGTGACACTACAGTGAGAGTGACACTACAGTGAGAGTGACACTACAGTGACACTACAGTGAGAGTGACACTAGAGTGAGATTACAGTGACACTACAGTGAGAGTGACACTACAGTGAGAGTGACACTACAGTGACACTACAGTGACAGTGACACTACAGTGAGAGTGACACTACAGTGACACTACAGTGATACAACAGTGAGGGTGACACTACAGTGAGAGTGACACTACAGTGACACTACAGTGACAGTGACACTACAGTGAGAGTGACACTACAGTGACACTACAGTGAGAGTGACACTACAGTGAGAGTGACAGTGACACTACAGTGACAGTGACACTACAGTGTGAGTGACACTACAGTGACACTACAGTGACACTACAGTGAGAGTGACACTACAGTGACACTACAGTGACACTACAGTGAGAGTGACACTACAGTGCGAGTGACACTATTGTTGACACTACAGTGAGGGTGACACTACAGTGACAGTGACACTACAGTGACACTACAGTGAGGGTGACACTACAGTGACAGTGACACTACAGTGACACTACAGTGAGAGTGACACTACAGTGACACTACAGTGACACTACAGTGACAGTGACACTACAGTGACACTACAGTGAGAGTGACACTACAGTGAGAGTGACACTACAGTGACAGTGACACTACAGTGACACTACAGTGAGGGTGACACTACAGTGACAGTGACACTACAGTGAGAGTGACACTACAGTGACACTACAGTGACAGTGACACTACAATGAGAGTGACACTACAGTGAGTGACACTACAGTAATAGTGACACTACAGTGAGAGTGACACTACAGTGACACTACAGTGATAGTGACACTACAGTGACAGTGACCCTACAGTGAGAGTGACACGACAGTGACACTACAGTGAGAGTGACACTACAGTGACACTACAGTGACAGTGACACTACAGTGAGAGTGACACTACAGTGACACTACAGTGAGAGTGACACTACAGTGACAGTGACCCTACAGTGAGAGTGACACGACAGTGACAGTGACACTACAGTGACACTACAGTGACAGTGACACTACAATGAGAGTGACACTACAGTGACAGTGACACTACAGCGACACTACAGTGAGAGTGGCACTACAGTGAGAGTGACACTACAGTGACACTACAGTGACAGTGACACTACAGTGACAGTGACACTACAGTGACACTACAGTGAGAGTGACACTACAGTGAGAGTGACACTACAGTGACACTACAGTGACAGTGACACTACAGTGAGAGTGACACTACAGTGACACTACAGTGATACAACAGTGAGAGTGACACTACAGTGAGAGTG